CAGCGGAGATATGACTACCAGAGGGCCAAATGTGAAGATCTGACTGTTATTCGCAATTGGTTCAGGCTTATACAGAACGTAATTGCAAAGTATGGCATCCAATTAGATGATATCTGGAACTTTGATGAGACTGGCTTTATGATGGGCGTGATTTCAAGCGGTATAGTTGTCACTGGCTCAGAGAGGCGCGGAAGACCAAAATTAATACAGCCTGGAAATCGGGAATGGGTTACAGCGATCCAAGCGATTAATGCAGAAGGCCGGGCAATCGATCCATTTATCGTGGTTGCAGGCCAATATCACCTTGCCAATTGGTACCGAGAAAGCAACCTCCCAGCCGATTAGGTTATTGCTACAACACAAAATGGCTGGACAGATAATGAGACAGGCCTTGAGTGGCTAAAGCATTTTGATCGATGTACAATCGACCGATCAGTTGGTGGCTATCGTCTTCTAATCCTTGATGGCCACGAAAGCCACCATTCAACCGACTTTGAGATATATTGTGAGGAGAACAATATTATCACACTCTGTATGCCACCTCATTCTTCCCACCTGCTTCAGCCCCTTGATGTCGGGTGCTTTGGGCCGCTAAAAAAGGCATATGGTCGAGAAATAGAGCATCTGATCAGAAGGTCTATCACCTATATTTCCAAGACCGAATTCTTTCCCGCCTTTTACGCCGCTTTTCAAGCTGCTATAACTAAGGAAAATATCAAGGGAGGTTTTAGAGGAGCTAGACTAGTTCCTTTTGACCCGGAATATGTGGTCTCAAAGCTTGATGTGCAGCTACGGACTCCAACGCCTGCCGAGGAGGTTACTAACCCCTCGACCACTTGGGTATCTAAGACCCCACAGACTATGCTTGAGGCTAGATCCCAGTCTGAATACCTTCAGAGACGAATTAGAAGACATAAAAGCAGCTCCCCAGAGTCAATTCTAGGAGCTTTAAAGTCTCTTGCCAAGGGAACAACAGCAATAATGCATGAGAATACCTTATTACGAGCTGAGATACATGATCTTCGACAGGCAAATGAGGTACTTAGCCGGCGGCGTAGGGCAAAAAGGACCCGCCTGCAGAATAGAGGGAGTATGACTATACAGGAAGGTCAGGATCTAATTGATCAGATGGATGTAGATATGCAAGTATTGGCCGAATCATCGAGAAGTGGTGGCCAAGGAAGTTCGGCGCGACCGAGGGTTCGGCGCTGTGGAACTTGCGGCAAGACCGGGCATAATGCAAGGACCTGTCAGGAGGGTATTGAGGCCTCTGGTAATAAGTATAGTAATTAAATTTAATTAAATAGATTATCTGTTGTATTTCTATTGTAATGTTTATTTAGAAGGTTCAGATTTTTGGTCCACTCGCTTGTCTGGTCCACTCGCTTATCGTGTACGTTATATTTATATTATTTATAATTATAAAAAAAGCTATTAAAATATAAATAACTTACCTCTATATATAAGCTTTACCTTAAAGAAATAAAAGACTTTTTATTAAAACTTAATAAGATATAGCCTCTTAATAATATTTCTTAAATATTAATATATTAATAAATTTATAATAAATTATAATAAATAGTTTTAATACTTAGTATAATAGCTTAAAATAATATATAACTTAAAAATAAAATACTTTTTAAATTTAATTAATGAATTATATTAAAAATATAAAAGAGAAGAATATTAAAAGCTTTTATTTTACTTAATTAAATTCTAGAATTTTATAATAGCCTCTTAAATAGGCCAGATTATATAAAAATGCAATTGTATTACAGACAATCTCTAAATAGTTTTATAAAATAATACATTCTAATATAATAAATATAATTAGACCTAAAATATAAAATTAGGCTTTATTTTTACCTAGCTCTTAACCCCTCTTATATATCTGCCTTAGCTATATTAATATTAAGTCTTACCTTGCCTATATAATGCTATTATTATGCTATTATTATAATCTATCTTAATGCTTAATTATTAGTCTCTTTAACTTTAAAGGCTTAGATATATTATATATATTATTAAATTATTTAAGTCAAAGCCACTTTATATCTTAAAATATAAGGAATTTTATATTTAGCTAAGATTTAAAATATATAGCTTTATAAATCTTTATATTATAATATTCTTTATTAAAATATATTTTATTTTATTTTAATTAGAATTTCTTTTAAAATTAAATTAATTATTATTTAAAAGTTATTAAAGTTAAATTTAATAAAAATAATAATAGTCTTATTATTAATAGTATTATTAATATTATAATTATTATTATTATAATTATATATATTATTATGATTTGTGCCCATAACAGTGCTATAAGGCTCTATAAGCAACTGAATGCACTACTGTAATTACTATAATAGCAGTTATAGCCCGATCTTTTGCCCTGTGGTGTAGTGGTTAGGTGCAGCTATTATATATATATTTATATATTTTAGTTTTAGAATTTTTATATTAAACTTAAAAAGGTTATAAACTTTTTTATTTATTTATATTAAAGATTTAGCTTTTATATAAAGCCTTAAAATAAATATTACTTTTAGGTATATTTTTTTCCTTTTTATATATAATATCTTAAAATAGTAATAAATATAATATTTATATTATTTTTAATAGCCTATTTATTATAATTTACTTATTTTATATTAATTTAATTAATAAGCTTTTAAATTTATTTCTCTTATTTATACTTTTTATTATAATATTTATATTTTATTATTTATATTAATAATATATTAATATTATAGCTAATTTACTTATTTAGTTATATAGCCTGTCTTATAATTTATTTAATTTTCTTTTTATTATTAATATTAAAATTAATTATAACTTTAAGTCTTTAACTTTAAATATCCTAAATTTATATAAAACTTAATATATTTTTCCTTTAAACCTTATAATTACCCTACTTCTATCTTAAATATTGTATTATAAGTTTTTAATCTTTTTTAATACCTCCTTAGCCTATTACTGTAACGGTTGTGGCAAGCATTCCAGGGTAAGAGGTCTAAGCTTCGTTAGTGGGGCCAGACGGATGTCTGTGGTGACAGATATAAAGGGACGGATTCCCTGGGACTTTAACCTTTCATGCTTCTTTTATATATATAATTTTTACTCTTTTTCCTTCGTATTTGATACTATTGAACTGATCGTTTAATCCTCTACCTTATGACGAAGACTCTGTCTTAATTGAACCTAACTGGCAGTCTACACTTAGCTTGCAGTTAAGAAGTGTTAGAAGATATTATCTTGTGCAGTCTTTTCTTTGTTGTTGCTCTTCACCTTCAAATTACTAAATATCCTTAAGTTATTTATTATATAAGCTACTTAAGTTAAGGGCCTTAAAAAACCCCCTTTCCTTCTTATTTAATTATATTCCTTTATATAACTTCTTTTTTAAATCTTTAAGCTTTTACTTCTTATATTTAAAAAAGTCTTTATTAATTAAAAGGTTTTTATAAGTATATTATATATGTAAGAAAATCTTATAATTAAAAATTAATATTTTAATATAATTAATATTATTTTTATTAAATTAAGCCTTTTTAATATTTATAGTTATTATATATAATATACTACCTTTATCTTTATTTAACCTAAAAGCTTTTTTAATCTTAAAAATTATATTATAGCCTTTAATTAAATAAGGCTTATTAGGCCTAGGTGCCTATAGGCTTTTTAAAATAGCAGGCATTATAACAGGGCAGCTATAATACTATTAGCAGTTGCAGCCAGAAGGTATAGGGAAAGTCAGGTTAGATAACTTACTGCAGAAGTATAATAGATAATTAAAGCATGGTATGCTACAGGGGTTAATAGAAGACCTTTAAAGTAGGTTAAAGGAAGAAGGTTAGGGCTAGCTAATAGGCAGGTAAGGCGTTTTAGCTGGCATATATATAGCTAGGTTTAGGCTATAATTAAGGCAGCTAAGTATAAAAATTTAACTTAATAAAGCTTTATTAATTATAAGGGCAATAAATATTTAAATTATATTAAATTCTAGAGATATTTAAATATACCTTTTAAGGCTAATTTATAAGCTTAAAAAAAATAAAAAATAAAATAATATTTATATTATTTTAATTATATATATTACTTCTTAAATTTAATAATTTTTAATTTAAATAATAATTTAGCTTAAATCTTATTTAATAATATCTTTACTCTTACTTAAGGATTTTATATAAAGTTAATAAAAATAAATAATTAAAATAAGTAATTTATTTTCTTTTTTTAAAAATATATTTATAAGATTAAAATTTTAAATAATATTTATATATATATATACTTTAAAAAAATATAGCTATTTTTTATTATATTTTTATTTAGTTATAAACTACAGTTTTAGTAAGATTTGTGCTATATAATAGAATCTTTACTTAGCACTGTGCTGTAAGGCCTTGCCCCTGTAGGGATCATATCCTTAAAACGGGTTAGGAGATTAGTCAACGCCTTGCAGTCTGCGGCAATTATAACCATTATCACCCTAATCTTCTTCGTTTCGAGTGCTCGCCTTTCGTTCGCCTTTAACAACCACGACTCACCCCACGCGTATAACCCAAATAGCAATATTGTATTCAATTCTCGTCAATCGCATCCTGTTTATATCTTAGGGTTCATTTTAAATGCCGGCCTTTTGCGGGTAATGACTGGATGGCCACGACCACCTCTAGCTAATATTTTAAGCCGCGTCCCAGGAAGCTAAAATGCCCAAATACGAATTTCATACGTCAACTGGCGCACCAACACAGGCCAACAAGGCCATACGGAGCCATGCCATAAAGACAGCCCTGCAGTTGCGTTCGAAAAGGGTAACTGGAGAGGATTTGCCAGATAGCTCAGCAGCATCAGCACAGACAGCACAACGAAAAAAGGAATTAAAAGGCCAGTTCAGAATCAAGACGGCCTCTATGAAGAACCCCGGTCCCAGACCAGGAGTAACGCACCAAGCGGTGATACGGCACAATAGTGGAAGCATGTCTGTCTCCGTCAATATGAACCAAAACTGTTTTAGCAGCAACTACTCAAGTCAAGTCCAGAGGTTCTCAGTTAATATTCTCGACCCTTTTGGAACAATCCCAATACCGTCGAATCCGAAGATTGACACGCTTCTCAAGCATTGTATGTATTACTCGTTTCTGCTACGCATTGCATTAGCTCACCACCCCTAGTCATGGTGCTTTTCGACTACTTGACTACAACAGTTCCCAGCAACAACACGTGGCTGGGTCTTGCGATCAATGACCCGCTTCTTATGCGTGTGACTCTCTGTACGACGGCAGCTTTCGGAGCTACGGTCACACCGTTATTCAGTGCTGATCTGCGAAAGGAAGGATTGAAACTAAAGTGTGAGGCCATCAAGGACCTAAATTTTATCCTCCAAAATGGCCAAGTCCCAGAGAATTTACTTGCTGCCATTGCACATCTAGGACATAGTGAAGTGAGTGATCGAGTGCCTTGAGGTCTGAATTCTTCTGGGCGATTCTGATACCAGTCGTTAACATTGGTGTTCCAGAATTTAGAGGGTTACTCCCAAGAAGCAGATATCCACATGAGGGGACTTCAAGCGCTACTTGATATCAGAGGAGGGATCAAGTCTATTAATACTTATCAAGTGGGAAGATTCATAAACTGGTAAGCGCGAAGCATCCTGTGCTACGCGACTTGAAAAGAAATTTGATCTAAAACTCTTTAGGGTGGACTTGGAATTAGCTACGACTCGAGGGCGAAGACCTCTTTATCCCCTGCACTACGGCTTGGATAGAGTCAAGCTTTCACACGATATCGTAGCGGCCTGCGAATTTCCAACTCTTTCTCGTTTACAAAGTCTTGGGCCAGCACACAAAACCGTTATGACCGTTATTCAACTGGTTCGACAAAGAGTAATGGCGGTAGAATGTGGCATGGATCCCACACAGCGAGATGTTCGTGCGCTGTCATTTTCCGCAGCCTTTCTCGCTCTCGAACAAGTTGATGATATTCCAGTTACTGTGGAAGGACAACGTGTCCACACAATCCTGTTAGCTGTACATCTCTTTTTGTGTGCGGCCATGAAACAAGACTTTCGATGGAGCGGATCCCTCCCATGGATGATGGCACAACGCCTACGGGAGTCACTCGAGACCGAGCCAGTGTATTCTGAAGTTTGGGTGCCATATCTGCCTGAGTTGCTCTGGATACTCTTCGTTGGTGCCGTGGTAACTGAGAAACATCCACAAGGCCACGGGGCATGGTTCGCTACGCAGTTACAGGTTGTTTGCCAGCTCCTTCGATGTAGCACGAGGCTGAATTTCGAGGGTTATCTGCACTCTCTGGTATGGGATAATAGGTTTGGGATTGAGTTTTTAAATAATTGGTTCGCGCCTACTCTCGGTGGCTATTATCGTCTGTCATAAGACTACTATTAGCTGCCTCCTGCGGCGAATAAGATGGAGATTTAGGATGCTTGGTTGCTTCGGATCGCGTGGTGAGACATATGACACGGGTTGATACAAATATCCATTTATTACCAAGGGCGAGCAGGGAGGTGATGGACCTTCAAAAGCCGAAACGGCCAGGCAAGACGAACGCAATGCAATAAGTCTGTAACTTATTTAGAAACTCCTGGGGCTAGGCACAACTATTTGTTCTTATTCAAGCCAAATAGGATATCAATCCCAGACCTTAGTAAGGTATCTTTACTACGCCTCATCAGAGACCTTCACGATAACCTTCCCTCTCGCTCGTCCCGACTCCACCTTATCCCACGCCTCAGCAAACTCGTTGAACCCAACCACGCTATCAATACTTGGCTTCAGCTTGCCAGCCTCCAATAGCCCCGTAATGACGTCTAGGTCCTTGCCGAGTGGCGTGATGACAAAGAACAGGCTGCGGACCTCTTTTTTAACATCTTGCGGGCGACTGTCCTCCGGTACACCGCAGACACTAACAAGGCTTCCCCCATCCCGAACTGCATACCAGGCTTGGGAGAGTGATGGGCCCCCAATGCAATCAAAGACAAGGTCAAACTCTCGAGTATCGGCATCCTTAGCTACCCAGTCACCGCTGCTTTCTTTTGTATAATCTATTATTTCCGTTGCACCAAGTTCTCGGACAAAGTCGACATTCTTTGGTGCGACAGCAGCTACAACAGCAGCTGCTCTGGCCTCTCGAGCGAGCTGGACTGCCCAGCTACCAACCCCACCAGCCCCGGCGGTGATTAACACGCGAATCTTGGAATTTTTGTCCTGCGCTGCTTTGTCACCTGACAGCGCCAAGGGGTCTAATCCGCCATGTGTAAAGAGCGATTGGTATGCTGTCAGCGCGCTGATAGGAGTTGCCGCAGTTTCGGCCCAGCTAAGGTTCCTGGGCCTAATCGCGAGCTCTGACATACGAGCCAGAACATACTCGGCTGCGGCGCCAGGGCGCGTGGCATCGATCCGAGCGTAGACTTCGTCACCAGTCTTGAAGCCGCTGTTTGCGGGAGCAGAGACGACGGTTCCCGCGAGATCCTGTCCTGGGACGGGGATCTTATCTTTTGGTATAAAGTCAGGGAACCAGACAGCCCAGTCGAGCTCGCCCTTGACAGGAGAGGTGGCGTGGACCTTGACCAGAACATCCTCAGGATGTGTAGGCACGGGGACAGGTTGCTCGGATAGAGTGAGCTTGTGGGAGTGTTTGTCAGGCTGGAGAACTGCCTTCATTGTTGCCGGGAGGTTGAGTGAAGCCATGGTACGGGTAAAGGTTGAGATAGCGGGTCTTAAGACTGACTGGGATGGGTTTTTCGCAAGAATATGAGGAAGGATGAAACTGGATGATAAACCCTTATTATGTGAAAGAGCATAAGCTCTCGAGATGATTCTTGACATGCGAAGCCGACTGCAGCTTTGACTTTTTTATTTTATTTTACGTTTCTACCTGGGTTGCTCAGAGTATTTATACGTTAGTTGACGCCTATTCTTTCCAGACACAATGCCCTTCGCCAAGTGTCTTTGCTAACCTTGATTATAATAACCTTGTACTTTTTCAAAACCGACATGGCATCAAAGCACAGTGTTTTTAGCACTATTTTCCTATTATGGCAGGTGGGTCGGACCAGCTTAGTTTCGGGGGCATACATTTAGACACTTGCCGGCCCCTCTCACGGCATCATAGCAAAGTCATCCCAATAAACCGGTCAATCAGCTTCCAAATTCGACAAGCCTCCATGATTGAAAGCTTACTAAAAACGAAGTAATCAAGCCGATGACTGTAATGCTGACGTGTCTCATTACTTTCAGATTGCAGACTCTGAGAGGTCATGAGCCGAAGGACCCGGAATGTCAACCTACCTCTGTTTCAGTCTTGGACCCCCGCTCACCCGACTCTCATCAGCTTGTGATTCTGCAGTAAGTAACGCTATGTGACCTGGTTGAAAGTTGTGATTGCTTCTGTGACTCAACACCTTCCCCTCACGTTAAGCCACCTTTAGCATCTCGACACTGTGTGAGGAAAACCAACCTCCTGCAATGCTTGCTATTGGCACTGAGAAAAATTGGTCTACGGATACGGGTGGCGGGGAAAAGATAATGGGATGTTGAATAATTATGGGATTAAATCCTTTCCTGATGATTATAAAAGTAACAGTTCTTCTCTTATAAGAACCAACATATTCCACACAATAGGACCAGAATCACCCTCAACGTAGAACCATTATCATGGCTTTCCCTAACGTCGACTTCAATCTTCGGTGGCAGGATCAAAACGTGGTCAAAAAGGACGGCCAGTGGACGGTTGACGGGTAAGTGTTATACCTATGTGCTAACGGAATTATAGAGGATGTCACGCATTCTGCGAAACACTTATAAGCAACATGCTGATACCTTGTGCAGACGACCTACTGTGAGTGTTGCAGTATCTCATGTACATCAACCACCCAACTTGCCCAATAACACGTGGCTTGGGCTGCTTATAACAGCTCCTCCAAATGCTGGTGAGTATATTATGTCTCTGCCTTCATACCTTTTACGATGGCGGGAACTTGCTTGAACTCAGAGATTTACCTTGAAACTTGTATAAAGCAATACTAACACCCGGTTAGCTACACCCCCTCACACTCATGCTGGAGCCGCCATCGTTGCAACAGTGATACGAGGTCATGTTCTCAACCAAATGGTGCATACCCAAGTTGATCAGGCAACGGGTGAGACACGCACGCATGATAGTGGTGCCAAGGTGTACGGGCCAGGTGAGAGCTGGTATGAGGCTCCAGGCTGCCACCACGTTCGTTCTGAGAATGTCGGTAACGATGAGGCTCTCTTCATCGCGAACCTGGTCGTTAGTACCGACGTTTTCAAAGGGTTAGACGTGAAAGCTCGGAGCGAGGAAGAGGACTTTGCAAAGATTGGCCGTGTCTTTATTATTGACAAGGATGTCGACGAGTAGAACCCTATAACGACTAGAGCCAAGAGTTGCAAAGTTTAAAAAGGATATGAATTATCCTCTCAATTATTACAAGGCTCCCACTAGCTTAGTTCAGGGATATCTGCCCAAGTACAATGCATCAATGAAGTGGGCATTATTCACTGCTAAATGATCCTATGGTTCTTGTCCTCATAGGATTGTGAGTTACAAATGGCACTTCATCCCTTCATGTGACTGGTTATGGGTATGTGAAAGAAATAGTATATCTATGTATAGATGCTGTCCTCAATTGTTAAATACCTTATCGTTGACTGCCACCACAAGAGCGGCATAGTCTAGGTTATCAACATAATCGATATAAACAACGTTAGGAAACGAAGTATTGTTAACCACAGGCAGTAGACGCGTCACCAATTCCTTGTTGCAGGTATATGCCAATACTCTAATTGGTTTCAGGAATGCGACCACCTTGGTAACAAAGTCCACAAGGTTACCGTTCCAGGATGGGGCTTGCTGTGTCAACGTCCAGGATAACAGAAAGAGCTGTTTGTCTTTAGTAGGCATGTGTCCTTTCATTTTCTTGATCTGGTCGTTGACCATGACTACTGCGTCGTCCGTGTTAGAGTATTGGTTGTAAACGTTGAGCTGTGAAGGCTTATAGAACCCCTTGTTCTTAAAGTCTCTCATATCAAGACCTTCATTTTCCACGACGCAGACGACCGCTCCACGCCTGTTGCCGATAAAATCCTTAAGTGGAATAAGGCTTAGGTCTTGCGCCTTCTTCTCGTCTTGTACCACATATCGGTTCTCAAGCTTCAGCAACTCGCCCAGAAGTCTGCGCCACTCATCATCATTGAATGTCCTCCAATTACCTCCGACATCGGTCTGGAGGGTGTGTGAGAAATTAAGAATTACCAGCTCTGGGTATTGCGACAGGAACGAATTAACACCAGAGATGATGCTGGCCAGTGACTCCCCGCGGGCTCCAATCTTGCCCGTGTAGTGACCCGTCCAGAAACCACCGCCAGAGATTTGAGGACGAATATCGAAGTAACGAGCGCCGTATGCAAGCTGTCCGTGAACCGGAGTGGCCTGGCAAAGCACGTAGTCGTCGATCAGCCCGCTTGGTATGTCACTGTGGGATACAAAAGACATGCCCGAGTCATGGCTGCCAAGCATGCAAATTTGTGACAGCGGTCGAGGTCCTAAAGTGGCAAGATTTTGGTGCATCCAGCCGACAGGAGGATTTGTCGTGTGGAAGCTGCCTTTCTTTCCCGAAAGTATGAAGCTTACAATGCCATCATGTCGCCACCCTAACTGTATCGATGAACCCCTTGGGTTGTTAACTGCTTCAAACGATACAAGCTCCACCCAGATTCGCGATGGAGCATCGGAGACATGGATGCGAAACGAGCAGTCTGTTCCTTCTAAAGTATATGCAGTAATACCTCTGGTGTCTGAGCGCTCTACGAACAGGCCTTGATTGAACTTAACGTAATTGCTTGACACAGTGCCTGTGCTACGGTTAGTCGTCCCTTGTATGTTTGTTCAACTTGGGCATCTACCTGGGTCGAGCCATTCAGGGAGGTTCCAAGAGTTCATCTGATAGCTGCTCTGATTTTTTCGGATCCATTTGTATGGTGTGCCGTTGACGAGCGCAAGTGTTCCGCCTTCACCCATCGTGGTGACGATCGATCGTTATAGAAGGTCCTGAGCTTGTCTGTTTTGTTTTATGAAGCAGTGGAGGTCAGTCAGATGGAGGCATCTCACAATCGAAGAGCAAACGATGGGATTATATGCTTGTTCCTAGTGGGTGGTGGTTGCATGCGCTCGCTATTGGCAAGACCGGTCATCGAAGCATCACTCTCGCATATTATGCATTAGTTCAGCCACAGGGTTGCATTTTGGGTCACAGACTCTTCAGTATCGTCAACTATTCTCTTTTGCAAAAGTCAAGAACTCATGCTAGGATCGGGCCGCATGATGTCGCTGCAATAAATGGCCGATGATATTGGTTGATCACTTTTCCAACTTGTGCTTGGGAATATATAGGAGGTATAACACACATCAGATAAGCTGGAGTCCTTGTCTGTAAACAGCTTGTACTTCCTGTATATCCCAACGGATAGAGTGTGCTTTTTAGTTTCCATGCAGCTGGACTGATCATGAGACGGTATCATGAGATAAAGGAATTTGGCTCAGGTGGCCTGACTAACCGCTTGGGGTAACTGGGCAAGACATTGTGTGGATGAAGTATCACATGTGATTCTGCGAGTAATTGTAGACTCAGCGAAAGGCATCGCATCTTCCGTTCCATAATATGGCAAAATTCTAACCTGCATTCTCTAATTAAGTAGCTGCGGCATGCACAAGTCCATGAAGACTACAAGCAATATTGCGGAATCTCTAAGAATCAACAAGCCGCGAAATTCTTCTACCAGCAATAAATTAATCTAACACTAAGGCGTCTACTCCGAGTCGGCAAGCGAAGTAGCATAAAAGCCATTATATACCTGAGTAACTGCTACCTAAAGTCCGTTGCTATTATAGCTTTGGACACTTGCAGCTTCTTCTTCTTCTAAAGTAACCTTGGATTTTAGACGTGACCTCGCACAGTATAAATGTCACGATCATGAACGACTGTGTACTTTAGGGCCTTGAAACCTATGACAACATTCTATCGTCCCTGGGTGTGAGAGGGAGGTTTGTTCAGATTCAAAATAGGCTGATAGCATTCTCAGATTTACCGAAGAAATACCAACTCCTTCCCAAAGACGATTTATCACGGGCTCAAAATCATGGCTCAATTGGGGGACAAGGAAGTATGGCGGCTTCAGAAGGTAGGAGGACGGAGGTTTCGAACTATCGATTTAGACTCCACTCCCTCGGACTCGCGCATTGACCTCGTGAGTATGATGAATGGGGTGGCTCAGAATTAATGGGTGTGTATGAGGAAGTTAGCTAGGCCGGTAGGGGCCAGTCTAGATAAAACTTAATAAAGGACATAAGGGCCTAATACATCAGGCTCACATTTCAATATTGAATACTTTATTCACTTGAGTTAAGTGCATTTAGGGCCCACGGCCAAAGTAGAAATAGGCTTCTAATTCCGACAACATGGCCGGTTATAAGTTAAATTGATCTACTAGGATGTCGCCACCCTAGACCTGGAAGTAGGCTTGTTATTGCGAAGAGAAAACTGTAAATGCCCAGGACTGTACCTGCTATTAAATAGTGGTAAATAGGGAAGATAGCGGCAAGAAACAAGGCGGAAAAACAATCTTCTTTTGATTAACTTCCATTTACCCTATTTATTACTTTTAAAAGACGTAAGGGTCACCTGGCGAAGATACAGGCTCTTAATTAGTTAATATTTGCTATTGCAAACCCCGCATCTGACGTCATTATCGTCATGGGGGAAATCTAGATATTTTGGGCGGGGATGTCATCGTTCTCAGTAAAAAGGACTAAAACAACAAAACATATTAGAGATAGGTATACCTTTAGAAATCGCATACTATCTTAATATTAACTTAATATATCTTAAGTCTTATAAATTATTAATATAAAGTATTAAAAGAGAGAAATTAGAGATTTTAAATTATTTAATTAAAAAACTTTACTATTAATACTAATTACCTTAATGCTAAGAGACAAACAGCATTAATACAAGCTGTAAAGGTTGGTGATAAGGATATAGTTAAATGTCTGCTTGAAATTAAAGGCATTGACGTAAATGCCTTAGGTATATATAGAAGTTGTCTGCTCTTGTGGCAATTCAGAAGTATATTAATGCGCTGCATTTTATGCAAGACAGATTAGAAGTCTTGGTTAGCATAACTATATATATTCAGCATTTCCTCCTATATAACAAAGTAACTAACTCCTATCTTGCCATACTTGCTTCCTATATCTGACATATCTAAGGATTACAGAAGAATCTTGGGATTGGGGATTCACTGGAACATGAGTTGATATTCACTGCCCAGGCATCACTCTTCCTATCTGCTTTAGCAATCAATACACTACCTCCAACACCGCTGCAGCTATCTCAGCTTCCTCTTCCTATTTAACTTATCAAAAACTGGGGTCGATGCGCCAAGGCCTGGGTCACATGGCTCAAAGAAAATGGTGTTATCAATAGCTCGAAGCAACCAATGAAGAGAACGGTAAGTCTGAGAAATAGAATGGATCTCAGCTGCAGTACTATATGTTTAGCTTAAGGTATTCATTTATATGCCCATATAAAGATAGAACGATCAAGAGCCACTGAATTGCCCCCTACTCATATATTCAACGCCCTGAGAACCCGGTCATCAAGTTCATGCCATATTGTAAATTTCGGCTCCTCCAACGGCAGCTTCGTCCCTTCGAACATAGCAAGGCTGATGAGACTGTGTCTCTTCCGAAGGTATTCCAAGCTCCTGTTGAGCGATCTTGTCACATACAAGTCGTATCCACAAAGATCTTCGTTCCGGACTCTCATTTAGCCGTAGATGAGTATACAATTCGTTACACAGGCTTGTCAAATTGACACAACACTTATTAATGGTAACCCGAACCCCCTAGTTATTTCCCGTTCTAGGTTCATTCTTCTCAGGCAGTACTGCCTCAATCTCAACCTCGATATGCATAGTGTCTAATGCCAGCTTCGAAACCTCGACGGCCGTCCACGTAGGCCGATGATTCGGGAAACGGCGCTTTGAAACCTGCACCAGTGGCTCAAAGCTGAATCGCAAGTCGGTGTGAAACGATCGCACCAAGTAGACGTCGTCAAATGAAAGCTCAGAGTTGACTGACTGTAGTGCTCTTAAGATGTTGTTGTAGGTGGTCTCAAGCTCTTGCTCGATGACGCAAGGAATCTCGCCGGTCTCGTTCCAGCCACCTTGACCAGAGAGCTTGACAATGTTGCCGACTTTAACAGCTTGTGAGTAGTAACCGAAGTCAGAGAAGGCCACGCCTTGGCCAGGGTAGTTGAAGAGTTGGAAAGACATGGTAAGAGGGCAGCAGAGAAACGGTATGAAAGTCTTAATGGATGATAGGCAGTTCACAGGCCAATGCCATTAGAGGTTCGTGTGTAGTTATAGATGTTCGAGTTTCCTTCTTAATAAGCACCTGCTAAGCGATATGCATGATTAGTCACATGCACGTTAGTATTACAGTACGCATTATAGTAAATTTAGCCATTGATAGGAGTTTCCAAGAAGCTATACGGTATGTGCAGGCTGATAAATGCTGACTGTATACAAGTAGAGTGATTGTCATATCACTCACCTTTGTCACCGGAGTATTTTGCTTGTCTCGGCTGCACAGCGGGGTCACGTTCTATGCCGTGGGTAATAACAAGACTTGTGCTAGTCCTTGGCTGTTGAGTTTCACATTTAAAATAATTCTTATTCATTAGAGTATTTACTTAGGCAACTCTGGGCCTTAAGGGTAAGCCAGGCTATTCCTAGCCACCAAGATAGTAAATCGCTTCGGAGTACAGAGATCCATCCTTATTGATGAAAGGAAAAGAGGTATCACCACATTGGAAACGAATCTCGTCGACCTTTAAGACGTCGCTGACAAGTCTATTAATTCAAGCAATCTTTTTCGCTCTAAGGCTGCAGAGAATTGCCTCGTGTACACACCACTTCCCCTACACGTAACCTCTGTGCAACCTTCCTACCCTGCACATCCTCTGTAGTGTGCCTTTTATCCCCGTTACAGCGTCTTCTGTATTGTAAGGGATGCGCTGCAAACTTAATCTTAAGGTCTATAATATGAAAGATCAAGCGCGAGGTCTCTTTTTCTAATTATACTGTAAAGTTTAAAAGCCAGATGCTAAAACCCATCCTATGCAATTAATTAACGTATTACCTCCTGGCCATATTATTACTTTACTAGCAGTGCCAGTTAACTACTAGGCTGAGACGATAAAATACGCGATAGCGTAGTACTCTTGCAATTCAAACTTAACATTTATTCTAACCCTTTAAGCATGCTTAGTGCGACGTCGAGTAATGTACATAGTGGAGCCATGGCTTGGAGAAAAGCGTTACGATACCCAAGTCAACCCTGGTACCTTTTTAGTTTTGGCGCGATTCATGACTTACAGTTTGTGGATCAGGAGAATGTCTCTATCCTTCCTCTTCAAGAAGAGTGGCTTGGCCCTCGCAGCTATCATAGCATTGGTGACATGCATATGCTGGTTAGTAACTCTAATAGCTCATCACCATCCTTGTCGGTCCATTGTCTCTTTTTTACTTTAGCTTTCCTTCGCTGTGGGCAATTGTAGTAGATATCCCCTCATAAAAAGTCTTTTCTACTTCCTTATTCTTTTGTATAGCATATTATAAAAATATTAAAGGTTTAACTCTAGGTATATAGTATGATTAATCTATTTACCTTTTAATCTATATACTTATTATATATATTATTAGAAATTTATTATTATTTTAGAAGGGAATTTCGTCTTACTATAATTAACATATTATAAAAAAATAATTATAAGTCCTATATATGCGCGGGGACATGTTTCTGCTTGTCCCCCTCTGCAATTTTAAAGTACCTTGCTAATAAAATAACCCAGTCTCTTTCCCAATTACACTATACTAAGGTACGAGGGTATCTTAATAGCAGACTTCAGAATGTAATCGTGCAGTTACATTTCCTCCTATTAGAGTGTTTACTAACTACTTATATTTAAATTGTAATATAAATAACTCTAAACTTTGGTGATTGCTTTTCTCCTTCACACTGTTTCCAAGCTGCCTGATCAGGGTTGCTTGGAACCATCTACTATCATCTCATTCGTGATGGAAACTTGACTCAGGTCTGACCCAAACCCTCCAGCTCCAGCTCCACTCTGCCCCGTGAGAGTTGACGTGTATTTGATGCCACTTGGGTGATATCGATCGGCTGCATGGCTCTCAAAGTCGGATACTAAGCCGCGACCACTACCATCATCTGAAACGGCCAGCTGGTGGGTTGAACTAGACTCGTCGTTGGGAGCACTCATGCTTATGGTATCGAGGCGAATGGACTGCTTCCTTTGACTGCGGCTATACGAGTTTCCGTAGCTGTTTGAGCTTGCGCCAGTGACTGTTTTTGGGTTTGTGCAGGTAAAGATAAAGGTACACGCTGGACGGATTACAGGGAGAGAAGCTGTAAAATAATGTTAGTTATTCTATCGCATTTATGCTGAGCCTCGAGAGTAAAACCTACCAGAAACATTAATAAGGTTCACCTCGACTGTTGCCCAAATAACGATTGTTACTATATTCCACGTCAGATCTGGTGATGTGTCGTCAAACACTCTAGCTGCGACAATTAACCGAATGCCGGCCGCGCAAATACTTCAATTATTAGCAAGTCCATCAATGAGCATATGTAGTAAAGGCCGCTTACAAGAAACCGAACGTGAACATAATCATAATGCCAGCCTTTTGCAGAGTAGGCAGCTGCAGCTTTCCAATCTCCAACATAGGCAGAATCAAGATGGCGATATCAATAATATTATGAACTAAAGTAGTGCCGAAGAAGAACTTTTTGTCCTCGATGGCGCAGTACCCGCCGGCAGTAGAGTCCCAGAAAGCCTGTACGGGGACGCAATGAAATATCCCCATAAAAAGCTTGTAATAATTATTAGATTCAATTCCTGGTCAAGAGAGTAGAGTACTTACTCGGAAGATAATCCATGTTATAGAACATCCAAATAGAATTTGAATTGGAAGTCTAATATTCGTGACGCAAAACATACGCCAGTACAGACTTAAGATAGAGACCTTGGCAAAGAAGAGGCCGAAAGCATAGAAAAGCTCTGCAACAAAGAGCACGAGCTTGCTTTCGTAGAGTGCTTTGTCAAGCGTTATGCCTTTGACATCCACAACATCCATGATATGAAGTCCAAGGCCGCGGTTGATCCCTTTCCAGTCTTGTTAGCCAATTGGTCAGTCGACATGCGCAGATGAACCTACAGTAAGGGATAATAATGATCCAACCAATGGAAATGGCCTGTAAGAGTTAGCAATTTGGTTGCTTTACAAGTCAACGCAGTAGCAAAGACGTACATAACCGCAGAGCGCAAAATAGTCATCCCATGACAGAGAATTTCTCTTGAGTCTACGACTCAGTAGGCGGAGTATTGTGATGATAGTCGCCGCTGCAAACGTGACAAAGAGCACCACCCAGATATCAGTCTGTTTGGACTCCATTTTTGTCTCTATGTATAAGATATCAATCAAAAGCACCATCAAGTCAGGACGGGTATGATTCAGCACTTTAGCCCATCAAAAATCAGAGGGCAGCGTGAACTGGAGAAAACGCAAGGATAAAGAGCGTCAACATGAGGGGATTGAAAAGATTATGTACAGAAGACCCCCTGACGGCTTGTTAGTCCATGCCGCATCTTGCTAAACAAGCAAGGGCCTGTAACTTTCTTCCTCTTTTGAGTTTGAGAAGTGCGAAAATTAGAGGCAGTACTCAGCACGTAGATCTCGGTGCTATTTGGTTAGTTTCTTATAGCGTTACCGTTTCGTTGGATAACTCAAGTGCCGTAACAACAACCCTTATCGGTACTTGCCGCGCTAATGACTCAATAGTATAGGTATAATTACGCGGCAAACTTAACAAAGGAAGGATTTGAGTGGAGATGCTAAGTGGAACACCAAAAGGAGGATATAAACTATAGAGATCTTCGGTGCCGGTGTTGTAACAAAGAGTTGCTAAAATTCTCGCACCCACGCCATCGGTGACGATCATACCGTTGGGGATCTACAATGCCAAAGCCGAAAGTCTACTAGCGCGTTGAAGTTCTCCAACGAATTTCATGAAGATATTCGACTAAGGCTGAAGGGTGACACTAGTGACTGGAGCTAGTCCCTTGATGTTACAGTCACTAACAGACTTGTCATCCTCTCCAGGAGAACCTGTTCTCCCAAGTTCGATAATTGACGGTCATAGCTTTTGTACTTTGTTCCAGGTCATCCCTGAATTGTATATAAAAGATAAGGCTGCGCTCCTCTACCACTCTGATGCAGGCAGCGAGATGGTTTATAAGTACAGATCAAGCACTTGTCGAAAGGCTAAAATTAACAGTGACATGCAAGTGGAGATTGTACGTAGAAAGGTGAAGTAAACTCCCTGAACTTTAATTCTCTTCAAGTCAAAGTTTATTGTCACGGAATTTCCCGGTGGCTTCGCAAGTGGCATATCAGCTGCCATCACTAGTCGCAACGGTCGTTTCTACTGCAGTTACAATACCCCTGACGGTGACATTTTTTCCCTTGCCCTATGGATGAACGAAGCTGTCGATCTCTATAGCCTGGTCTGCTTATTCCGGCTTGCCAGGTCTCTTATTCCGAGAGCCGTTTACTTTGATGTTGAAGGAGGGAAGCTCGCTCCCTCTGCTCCATCCCCCTTTCTAATCACCGAGACAATCAGGTCTAGCTTGCGGAACTAGTAGTGTATTGGCGACCTCCTCGGAAGTCCTACTTTTAGTTTTACCCCACCACATGGACTCAATGTCCTGTTTCAACATGGCAGATACGCGGCCGTTTTCCATCAGAGCAATCCAATATGGTGCCACGAAGTGCCTTTAGGATATATTGAGGAGACTTAGAAGTAATGAGAATAGATAGAGAATACTTGCTACTGTTAATTTCCGAATAAAAATTAAGTCGACCAAAGAAGTATTGCAGTTAGTTTCTGATATGTTCAATTCCCCCACACCAAACTCGCTGGATTGAACGCGTTGCTCGAATGTCGTTGATGGGGTTATCACGGAGGAGCACCAAGTCGGCTCGTTTTCCTGGCTCAATCACCCCACGATCACTCAGTCCGAAGCTCTTCGCGGGTAGAGACGTTGCCGCCCGCAAGGCGTCAACCGTCGACATGCCGGCCTCAACCAGGAGCTCTAATTCATGGTGTAAAGCCTCTCCGTGGCGGATCTGAAACGGTGAGTCTTCCTCCTCGTTTGAATCTGTCCCCACCAACACAGGCACACCAGCACTGTATAGACGCATAACTGACTCTTTGCAATGCTCGTACGATTCAGTCCCGATAAACCATCTCCTGCCCTTGATGACGGTCCACAGGAGTGAGGGTTGAAGCAACAGTCGCACTATGGCGCTCCAGCCTAGAGGCTTGCACATAGTTTCCATCATGGTTAGGGTAGGGACGGATACCGACTTGTCAGTCATCATGCGCGCCACAGACTCATCGTCAAGTGCTTTATCCCGCGGGACGTGCGTGATGACGTCTGACCTTGCCTCAAGCGCCATTGTGAAGGGAATATATGTCGCTGCATGGGTAATCACGAGCTTCCCTTGTTCATGAGCTGCAAAGACCAGGGCATCCAGCGTTGGCTGATCCGGCCCCGGAAGGTCGGCAATAACTTTGATGTAGTCTGCCCCCTCGGCTAGCCGGTCTCTCACAAAGCTCGAAGCATCTCCCGATCCGGAAACGAGGGTTTCTGGAGGAATTGGGAGTAGCTTGCTGTGAAGACTTCCGGGCGTTGTCGCGGGAATACATGCGCTTCGGATGTCGGTAAGGCCTTCACGGTTACGTAGTGCGTGTAGCTTCTCTGGCCACCACTCTCCCATCCCCAAGGCTGTGGTTACACCCCAGTCGGCCATTCGTTGCAGATGTCGTTCGCCTTCAAGGTGGACGTGCGAATCGATCAGTCCCGGAATGAGAACGCCGTTGGCACCGTCAATCTCCTGTGCTCCAGTAGCATCTGATACGATGACTCCGCCATCAATCACGACTGACGTGGGCGCGGTGAGTTGCTCGCCATTGAAAACTCGAACATTCTTGATGGCTACTTTCTGAGCCGTCGTTAACGCATTAGATATGGGATATTTTAGAGACTCCATTTGGATTATGGAGTGCCCCGTAAAGATTCTTGCTGTTGATATTTGTATTCACCTGCCTTGTAGAAATATGAAGCATGTGAAATTCATATCCCCTCAATTGCCGAAGGCTTCCGACAGATCATTTAAGGGATATCTGCCCAATTAGAACGCGAGAAGGAAATGTGCATAATTTCCTACCTAGGTTAGTCCACGATAAATAATCCAACAGTATTTCAAGTTACAAACCGCATCATTGCTTTGCTCAAATCCCCAAATTAACTGTTACTTCTTCTTCTTATTACTGACCGGCGCATATGACCTTATTGAATTTCTTGGCCTTGGCTACCTAACCCGGTGACCCTAATAAGCAACGCAATTAACAGCGCCGCCCAGACCAGGTGGCAACAGAAGTACCTTTTGCTTGGTGCGTTTTAATTAGCTATTGCCCTTATAGTGATATAACTCTAGCCTTGAGAACTCTTTAGAGACAAATTATATCAATATTTTAAATATATTTTAATCTACTGTCTAATCTAATTTCTATTTTATTTATTTATAACAGCAAACTTTCTATTTTTTAAGTAGTTTTATTATGTATTCCTGCTGCTACTAAAACTAAACAGACATTCGCCATCCCTTAACCCGGTCCTACTTGACCTATTAATTTCCGGTCTTTTAACCATGCTTGGGCGCCAGATTGCCGGGTTTTCAAGCTAGATAACGCGAAGACGGTATAACGGCGACGCGGGAAGCGAACATGACGCGAACACGGCGCGATTGACCCTCGGAAGATTACAGGAAACCAACTTAGCTGCAGGGTAACGCGCATCGACAAGCTAACAAACCTTAATGTATCCCCAACCCCCGGGATTACACAGGAATTAAGGATGAAAATTCAAGGTGCGTAGATATGCTGAAGGAGGGATAAGGCAATTGCAGACGGAGATTGGGCAAGGTAATAGAAAAAGAAGAATGGGAGAGAGAATAAAAGTAGAAGAAAATAAGATAGAAAAAAGAAAAGAAACAAATGGAAGTAGCGTACCTGGCAAGCAGGCACCACAGCAACTGTTGAGCTCCGACCGCTGCAGAAATGATGGCAAAGTGACATAATGTTATCCGCTGGGTGCGCAACGCTAAGGACTTCTTGCAGCAGGCCAGGCTTTCCAGCCATCGTTTTGACACCAGCTGCCTTTAACCAACCCAAATAGATGTTACCCCTAGTGATAGCATTAACATTAGGGCAAAACAATTAAGACTCCAAGCCTTCTCCCTCGCGCACTCATTTCTAATGTTTAGGTCCCAAATTCCCCATTCACACCAATCGCCTTCAACCTAGATATTTGCCTCCAGAATATCTCTTTTATCACCGCCTTTTGCTTTGTGCCTCGTGCTACCGCTTTAAGCGCGTACCGGAATCTACTTACTGTGCTTATTGCTGTGCTTTCTGCCCCGCCAAAAGCTCCAATACACCATGTTCTATTCCGAGACTCTTCTCCGGAAAAGCGGGCCTCTTGCCAGCGTCTGGCTTTCGGCTACCTTCGAGCACAAGCTCTCTAAGAAACATATTCTGCAATCGAATATCGCCGATAGTATAGCGGTCATTATCACACCCAGCCAGGCGCCTATGGCCCTGCGACTAAGCAGTCAGTTACTACTTGGTGTTGTTCGAATTCACCAGCGCAAAACGCGCTACTTGCTCGATGATTGTGACCATACTTGGGTAAGGATGAAGACGGTATATAGCATTCTCTCTTCCTTCCGACATCATATAATAAAATGCCTAGGCCTTTCGACCAACCGCTGAGCATGATCTTCCTGTCAGCCGACAACTTCCTGAACGCGAAGCACTCACGCTTCCCGATAAGGTGACGCCTTACGACGGCTTCGAGCTACCCCCTACTCTGGACGTGAACTGGCTTCTGTCCCAGATAGAGGAGGTAGAAATAAGCCCAATCAACCGCAAGCGTCGCGTCAGCTTACGTGACATTTACTTACCAGAAGAATTCGGTCCTAGTCCTGACCTTGGCCTGCATGGGGAAGTGTTAGAGCCCATGGAAGGCCTTGATCTTGAACTAGATTTTGGTATTGAGCTTGGCCGAGAAGCGCCAGCTCCTCGCCCAATTGAGGAGGAAATGGTTAGCGAGCTAGAAGCCATGCCGCCGGAGAGAGAGGACGCTGAGCGCGAGCCGTCTCTCGAACTAGGGTTAGCCGGGATTCCGATAGGTGGTGAGGAGTTCGAGTTCCACCCGGCCGACATCAGTCGCGCTCGAATCACCGAATCCCCTCTCTCCGAGATCGATGAAGCACTTGCTCAGGAGGTCGAGGCCGAGTATGACGCGATCCGCCAAGCTGAACTCCACGAGCCTGAAGAAGAACACGTTGTTATGCGACGGCCTGAGCAACGCACCAAGAAACAGAAAGTTTTGGTCCCCGATGAGGAGATTACTCTATCCAGTGCCCAAATTCGGGAGCAACAAGCTAACCGTGACAACATTACTAAACCTACGGCATTCCTCCCTCGGGACCCTTTCTTGGCCACTTTGTTAGATATGCAAAAAAGCGGTGGTTTCATTTCCTCTATTATGATGGAAGGACGAAGCTCCGCGTGGGCACCCGAACTACGAGGGATGCTCTCTCTAGATGCTATTCAAGCATCGACAGAACTAAAGCGGAAGCGCCCTATTGAAGTCCCTGAAGTTGGGCCCGAATACGGCGTTTCAAAGTCACCACGCCTAGAACTTGGCGACGAGACCATGGCCGGTGAAGAAACGACTTTTGAAATCCCCACCTTCGAGGAGATCACTGCCCCTCTGGCTTCCCCCGCCGAACAACCCCCTATCTCGATACCTACCGAGCACGCCATCCACATTCTACGAGACCAATTCGGTCCTGAAGCTGCGAGCAGCCCCGGCAGGAGAGCGACCGCGTCTGTCGTCTTCCAAGACCTGCTCCCCGAACATCGGACCACCAAGGCCGAGGCTACTAAAATGTTCTTTGAGTGCCTGGTGCTTGCCACTAAAAATGCGATCAAGGTTGAGCAGGGCCCAGGGCTGGGGGATGATATCCGGGTGTGGGCGAAGGAAGGCCTTTGGAAATGAGCCAAGTGAGATGTGAGCGGCGAGACATCACACCCATCGGAGTAGTCTCCCATACTACTAAAATACAAAGAATACCCAAGATTAGCCATTCTTCACGCAGCCGTAAGCAGCAGTCAGGCCAAAACAAAGACCACAGGAAAACATAAAACACACTATAAACTTTATTAAGTTTATATTAGTTAAATCAATAGCTAAAATACTTACTTGATTTACTTTTATTATTAATTATATTACTTATATTAAATACGTATTAGTTTTAATATTCTACCTATTAAAATAATTCTCCTTCCTTTAAGGTCTGTATTAATAGGGAGGAACAATACTGGCTATAATAATAATTCCTCTTGCTCAGATTAAAGGTTATTAACTATAATGGTAGTTGCTGTCAGATTCGGCCAAGAGGCCTCAATCACTTCTCGACCAACCGAAATATTGGCGAGACTGGTTCTCTAGCTGAGTGTCGGGAAAACCGCGGCTCATATCGGACGGACCGTAATTCTCCGAACAGCATCTCCCCTGTGTGAAGCTAAGACAGGCCATTCATAAAAGGGGCTCGCTTCAGATAATAATCTAGAAAACACAAGGCTTAATGAAAACCTCCTTCTATGCTTAATTCAATGCCCCATAACTGGTTGTCATACTAAATAATAACTAAAATCACTATTACCTAATCGTGCTCTAGCATTATTTCTAAGAAGGCTCGATTTAAATCAGCCAATATCCGCCTCAGCTCTTGACAGAGTTGTCATTATATCATCGTGACAATGTCTGAGTCTAGGAGTTCGGAGCATAAAGTCCGACTTCACCGGAAAGGCATGCACCTATTCACATTGAACGAAACGGGGCGTTAACCAGCGACACAGACAACGTCGAAGCGTGGCAGTGCGCTCATGAGATTGCTGTCCCAGCATTCCGTAGCGATCCGTTGTTCGCATGGATGTTCATGGAGCACAAAGACGATGACGAGCGAGAGGAGCGCCTCCATGTCTTTCTCAGACCTGTTATCAAATCCGCTCCCATATGCGGCGGATACATCCTCGATGCCATGGACTGGGGTTCCATGATGGTTGTCTCGGAACCGGGACAGAATTATGATGGTCTGAGATCTATTATCTTGTCTGGTGGTATCCCAGCGACCTTGTCTGGAGGGTTGAAACCAACTTATGTACGTATCTGTATCCTGTTTATTGCCATTACAATAACTCATTTTGTGTTAGCGCCTCCTCATCCAATACCTCAAGTATGTCGACAAGATCAAGCTTAAGGTCCTCCCCAAGTCACGTATCCGTGATTGCTTCTATGTCCTACTCACAGCAACCGAGGCCTCGCACCGCAAGCAAGGTCTCCTGAGCGCCATGATAAAGTACTTGATGGAAGAGGCGCGCAGGGTTGCTAAGCCAGTATGGCTTGAGGCTACTTCCCGGTACTCAATGAATCAGTTTCTTCGGCATGGTTTCGAGCTGGTAGAAGATATTAGGGTGGGCGAGGGCAAAGTGAATAGCCAGGGGAAGAAGGAGGCCGGCGGCGATGGGGTTCTGATCGCTTGTATGATCTGGTGGCCAGAAGAAATGAAGGAGACGTTTACAAACAAGAGTTAAAGGACTCTAAAAATGGCTGGACATGACATGATGGCAGTATAGTATCAACTCTGATACCGGTCTTACTAGATCAGACGCCAACGTACGCTACCCTAGTCAATATTTCCAGCTTCTTAAGAGTGAGCTAGGAAACCAAGAATGCCGATAACAGCAGGCTAGCAAGAACAGGCTAGGAAAGATTAGCGCGTCCAACCGAGTATCCCATATCTCTGGTGACTGTTAGGTTATTTACCTACTTTTTTTTTAAAAAAAAAAAAAAAGAATCTAGCATACATTCTCAACTTCCTAGCTGAGAAATCTAATATCAGAGATTCTAGGAGACTGTTTGATTGCTGATGGACTGGTTTAGTCGAGTTTACAATGCGTTTGAGGAGAAGGTCCTATTCAAGAGGGGTGACTAGGTATAGGCGAGGTAGCAACAATTTGACTTATCCTGTAGCAATCGCGCAGACCGTACCCATAGTGTCTGTCGCCCGCATTGACAGGTGCCCTTCTGCTCATAACCAAATAGTTCTGCCATTTGCACGGATTGCAGCTGTACATAGAGCACTTCCGCCTTCTAATATTTGCACCTCTATCCGCTTACAAGATGGTTGGCGGTGATTAAGCATTTCCGAGTATAGCTGCCAGCCGGAGGGTTTCCAATCGTCCTCGTTGATAGCGTCCCAGTATTCATCGCCCTCGCCCTGAAATGCCTCCAGCTCATACATCCACCACTCAGTCATTGGTTGAATGGTAATTAGGTCGTTTTTGATACCACTCTCCTCGTCTATCAGAATATCGATTTCATGGGATCCTTTTTGACGACGCTCTGCGATCCATTGGCGTCGGCAATGATAGTGTCACAGTCTTTCTGCACGTGGTCTAGTGGAGAGATCTAGCGTCTCTCCGCTGCTCGAGACACGCATGCCCATCAAGCCAGCAATCCGCATTGTCTTGTATGTTATGCCATAGTTCCTTTGCCATACTTTAAGAAAGAGCTTCAGCTATAGCACCCATGTCCTACTTGAGAAGCAATCCAAAGGACAGAACAGTAATGTCGGTCTATTTACCGTAAGCAGCAAAGAGACCACATAAAGCCTCAAGATGGCGGTTAATGAAGAAGCCCAGCTAGGTCAGGATCGTCAGCCTCACATGGTCTGGTCGTAGGATCAGGTAGCAGTAGTGATTGTACGGTTTAAGCACACCAGAATAAACCCGTTAGTTAAGCTGATAATGTCGTCTTCAAGACTTGGCTGGCACCGCAGCCTCTTTAAGGGGCATGTTACATAAACTCACAGCGGAGGGGTGCACGCCTATGGAGCCCAGGTCTATTGGTTGCCTGAAATCAGGTATGGCGTCGTTGCGTTCGCGAACACGGCCCTTACTTCAAATGCAGTGCAGGAATCCTGGCATGGAAGTTGATTCAGGACCGACTCAAAATCCCAGAGAACGAGCGTTCTGATGTCAAGTCTAAGTTTGACACGCCTTCCATTGTCCTACGAAATATTTACTAACTAAGAAAGATACCAAAAGATGATGAAGCAATTAGCCCCTTTTGCAGATGAGTCCGTTGATATTATCTACCCTGATCGTCCTAAGCCGCCTTGCCCCCTACTGTGAACATCGCGGACTTGCAAGGCATATACTACGACCCAGGGTATGGACGAATTACGTTACGGGGAGAACATCACCCTGATAGATCAGAAGAGAAAATTCTTGTAGCAGACCGCCACGACATGACATGGAAATACCAGGTGAGGCTGCATCACGTTTCCGGTGACTATTGGATTATCTACCTGCCTTTTTTTGGAGAATCCAGGGTATATAGTCGAGTTCGTAGCTGGAGATTTCGAGATCGGGAGTAATGGAAAGGTGGTTGGAATGCAGGTGGACTGGGTCAACCGACCTACTGGTGAGATGGAAGGAAGGGCCCTATTCAAGAAGCTTAATTAGCTATGAGTTAGGTTATAACAGCATGAAATAGCTAAACACGAAGTAGTTTTTGTGTGTTTGTAAATTGGATGATAGTCGTATTGCAATTCGAGACAACAAAGTCATAATGAACAAGTAGCAAGGAGAAGAAACCGATACTATTGTTGCTTCTAGCTCAAAATGCCAACGAAAACGACGTCGAGCTCGTAGCGGCCTTGGAGCGTCGGTGTGTTTTGATCACTAGTCATCAAAATTGTATAATATTGATCAGAAATATGAGGAATTTCGTGGCAAGTAAGAAAGGCAATGCAAGGTTCTCGCCGCTATAACCACTAGATTGGAGACGCAAAGCCAGAATATGGGATTGCTGATGCCCTATCTGAGTGATAGCGTGTGCAAATACAGCCATAATTACAAAGCGATTCGGTGACGTCCATATATCGAAGCTAATATGCACAGCTGTGGAGGCGTTACAAAGCTCTGCCTTAATCATAGCAGACCCGAAACTCTCTGCATTACCGACCGGTTTAGAGAATTTATAAAGCTCTTGAGGAAATAGAAAAGAACCTCCGTCTATTGCTGTTTACGGCTTTAATGCAAGCTCTGTCGAAGGCATGAAAACGGCTCGGCAAACCGGCAGCAGCCACAACAGCCCCTTCGATATCGTGAGCAAGGCAGAATCTGATAAATATTACTCTGCATAGAGAGGCTTGAAAGTAGGCAGCTAATTACGTAACAGATGCTCAGGGCCGTGTGCTGTATAGTGACATTTGTGAGACACTAATATCATAGGCTAGTAATTTGAACTTTGGGAATGAATAGGCAATTATTGGCTGTCATTAGCTGTAACGTGGCATGTCGAGCCCCGCATACTTTGTCAGTATTAAGTTGTCCTCCGGCAGATTCTCCGGCTCCGCGGAGATCCCTTATTTATGGGCAGATGGTATATTACCGATTTTCCCTTAAAGAAGGAAACCTCTTACTATATTACAAGTATCGGCCATAGCCTAGACTAGTTTCTTTCCTTACATATTATATACCGATTTGTTGTTTTATAAGTTGTAACAGAAAGTGTAGATAAAGTGGCAAAAGAAAATATGTTCTCGACTGATATTGCCTAACTTTTTTTAAACTAGTACTGCCTAAAATGCAAACCTGCAGTAATGAAAAACTAGCTATGCACTTTGCAAGCCGTATTTCGTATTACCTTTGTTGAGCTGAGGTGATGAGCTGCAAGTTTACAAGGGCAGCTCAATAACTGTCGTCTGTTCGAACAAGTCCTGAACGTTACCCATGGACCGATCTACTCTTGTTGACATGAGAGTGCGGCAGGGGATGTCATTCTGTTGTTGTAGTCTGATGGTTGTTGAAAATGTAGATGTCTGCGGTTGACAATTCTCTTAAGTAGGGCTCTGATTGCAACAGCGTGTCCGCAATCAGTGACATACACGGTTCCAAGGACCATCATTAGTGCGAGCGCAGATTGTCGTCAACAAGTATTTGCATGCGAGATGCAGAGGCTTAGTAAGATGATGTTAGGGGCCCAACAAAAGAAAGGTCGCCCAGCAATAGGATGTTCGAGTTTCCTCACCCCACGACAGCCGCAGCTGACGCCACTGGGAGAACCTGGAGGAGTGGGTGGCTTCACAGGAAAATGACGGCTGGAGGGGTTGTAGGTGTTTTCAACCCCGTGGAAAGGGACGAGCGTGATTATTACCGACGCCTTGTGGCGCTATTATCCTGGCATAGCTGGTCGGTGAACTAGTCATTAACGCCCCTCGTACCACCATTTAACGCATCGACACACCGACAAACGCCTTAGAATGATCTGTCATATTACAATCACAGCCTGTTGTTAAATGAATGGGAAGGAGTGAGCTGAATTTACAGATTCTGATGTATCAGGCACTTTATTCTCACTTTCCTGTCCCTGACAATGGTAGGCGATGGAGGCTAAGCAGGAGATGGCGCTTCGAGCCAGGTTATTCTATTGATCTTACTTGCGTAACTTTGTCTTGTTATGTAAAAGCTCCTCAGTGTCGAAGTGCATATCAGCCAAGTGTCATGCTAGGCAGACTCTTATACGAAGAAATGCGGACGCCCAAGCTCACCATTCTGCACGCCGCCGTCAGTCAGCAAGCTGTGCGTTATTATAAGAAGCAGATAAATCATGTTCCTTCCCGCAGTCTCCAGTATTGTCCCCATCTGGCTTCTCCTGCCATAACATTCTTCAAGATATCCCCTGAGCGTAATCTACCATGAAGGTCACCTGGAGGCATGTGCCGCTCTTACTTACTCTTCTCTTCCAGAGTTCGTTTGTCAAAGCGTACAACTGGACTGAGTGCAAGATAAGGGTCGAGAGAATCAGAAATGGAACTCTCGTCCACGACTCGATTACAAAGGACAACATCTCACAATTTCTATACCATGGTCCTGTTCCCGGGCTGCATCCATCCTTCCATAGGCCCGACTACCTGTCATTGACTTTAGATGGTAATGTTAAAATACCAATTAAAATGAGTCAAATCCTGACTGAGTCCTACCATAGGGTGCCGAAAAATCTGTGGCGATCCCATCGACACCTTTGAAGCGCCGCAAGCTCTCAGTGTTGCTGCTACCTGGGTGTTTCCCCTGGCCATCCTTTTCAGTCTTCCATGGGAGTCATTGCATGAGAAAAAGGTCTCAAAAACTCTGGCGGCGGCTTCAAACTGGCTAGGATCGCCTCAGACTGCCCTAACTGCAACCATATTCAACTTTCGAGGAATCAGGAATTGTCATCGAAGAGTCCGCGGTGTCGGCTTTGACAACTGGATAACTCGTCACTATAGCAATGCCCTCTACGTCCTAAGCGTTCTAAATCAGTTTGATGGTCTAGAGACACACGTTCCCTTTAACAACCCTAGAGACAGTCAACCTACCAGAATGCTCAATGTCCTTATTTACGGCCTTTTCCGACCACTCTCAGTCCAAGACGAATCCGATGTCAGACACACTCGGCAACTCCTCTCGGACCTTGCCCACCAACTGCGGATGTTTCGCCGCAAAGGCGTCATTCCTACTCTGGCAAGCCTTGGGACTTTTCTTGTCGCTTTTGTTTTCTCCCTTGTCTTAACCTTTGCCGAGCTAGGGGATGACAATACACCATTTGCCCTATCCTTTGGACTCCTGCTTAGCTGGCTTCCCCCGCTCGTCATCTTCACCATCGTCGACAGGAATCCAATATCGGCAGATCGCTCAGGGTAGATTTCTTGCAGAACTTCATTGTGGTGTTTCATGCTAATCAATCTTAGTGAGCTAATATCGCGTTGGCTATTCAATGTTGATGCAGTCATGAGCTGGGCTAAAGGAGATAACCCGAGACAAATTGTTTACCAGCGAGCTGAAGACCCTGAGGATACACAGACGATTGACAACATTAGATGGTGGCGCCCACAGGGCTTACCAGAAGAGAATGTGCAAGTCGCTGAGCAACCCCCTCCTCAACTAAACCAGTTCGAATTGCGGGACTTAGGACGCGCGCAAGTCAACCATCAGGCTCGGAACGAAGCTCAGGAACAAAACCACCTGTGGAACCACGTTGGGGAATTTATTGGACAGGGACGGCAACTCAAGTACTGTGGACTTGTCCATGCCGTTTTAGTGGCCACAGATGGCGTAGAGTTTAACCATCTAGGAGACAATGATCTCCTATTTTATGCTAGAAAGACAGCCATAAACCTGAGTCGACGGAAGCCGAGGTCATGGTATGTCGTTGCGGTATTGTCTTTCCTCCTCGTATGGTGCGAGATCATGATGGCTTTCATGGTTGCCTTCTGCTCCCCGACAGTTGGCCTAGGATGCCGATCGCTGAGCTATCTGCTCTTTGGTATTCTAAGTTCGATCAGCTGGTTTATTCACCTCTCGATGGAGCCGTCAAAATGTGTGAGATGGATCTTACATTTCTCTAACGGTCTGGCTATTATCTCTCTTATTGGGATAACAGGAGCTCAGGTACGCAGCTAATAGCTTATCTATCCGCGGAATGGAACGGTCGCTAACCATGATCCTTGAAGCTCACAGGTGTGATGAACAACTGCTACTGCAAATCCTCCGCTCTTAGCATGCCAGGCATAGGTGGCTATATGGACTTTGAGAATGCGGCATTTTATAGAGATCACTTCAATTCGGGATACTACTGGGGCTTTGCTGCTGTTCTTGGGGGTGCCATACCCTTGATTGCGTTCCTAGTGGCACTCTTCTGGTGGGTGAAATGCAAGCATCTTTGGAGTGCAAACGAAAAGGGCCAAGGTAATTTTCACAATAATGCTACTGACAGGTTATGGTTGGGGTAGCTCTATTGTTTATGGCGAGAGATTGTATCTTGCCTGCCGGGCAGACACTCGTGTTAACGCAAACAAGGAGAACCTATAAGCTATTTATTGGGGCGTACGCAGAAGCCTGGTGCGCTGTAGGCTCTGAGACGCTACCCTGATAATTGTCTAAATGGTTTTTGCAAAGAATTGAACAGATAACACCTCCCGACTCCGTTTTCCTGCGCCAGACCGAGGCTATGATGTTCAACCCCTTTGCATAGAACGTCGTGACCCTAAGGTTAATAAGCTGCCCTAAATCCCTCTAGCCTTAATCCAGTACTTTGTACTTAAGTATTTATTCGAGATAGACGGAAAGTACTAATGGCCAGGTTTTTATTTCAAGAGAAGCCGATTTCAGCTTCTTTACCAGCACCTCCGCACCTCTAAACCTACCGAACATCAGCCCCATGATAAGTTCCCTATCATCTCATCGCGCGTAACTAAGTGACCGGGCCATGATCAGAAACCGGGGTCTAACTCTCTAGCCCAGGTTTACATTTTGCTGCTCAATCAGGTTTCCGATGGCCTTCGTCCTCCCTCTTTATTCCAGCAAAGAGACTCAGGGTATCTTAGTTGCTGTCATACTTCGAACATTTCAAAACTGTGAGATGTTTTGGTTTACGGGTGAAAGGAGGATGATCATGTTGATATGTAGTCATTCATAGCTAGAGGCATTTTTGGTGCTTTGATTGTAGGCAAGAATAGGAATGTATTAGATACCTTTATTCTAATGCACTCTAACTAGCTATAACCCTCTGTAGGACCCGGCAACAGGTTCTACACAGCTAAGGGATATGTGCTGCTTTAATGGAAATCGAGGTTTCCAGAAGCGAGCTAGTTGGGACCGCCAGACAATTCTCGGGTGACTGTGAAATCAGTGGTAACCACGACAGTTCCCTCGATATCCGGTTTCCGCGTTTCATTGGGCGTTCTGGTTGTAGCTAGTGCCGAATTCCGGCCATAAGAGATCAGCTCTAGTTCGTCACCCAACGCTTCCTCATCAATACGGGCCCGTGATGCAAAGGACCTATTGCTAGATGGTTGACGTGAGGACGTATGAATGTAACCGTTGGTACTACGGTCTGATGTATTTCCGGGGGACTTCGATTGTACGAAAAGGCTTTTAAGTCCAGGGAGAGAGACAACGATCACTGCAGTACACATTTCGATAGTGCACCATGCATCTGTAGAAATGGTAGTATATAAACGTTAGAATAATCCTTTTGCAGTTGATGCTAGAATAGTGAAAAGCGATTAGAGACGTACTGCCTGAAGGGTCATCCAGTTTATAATCTGTTACAATATATGCAACAAAGCAGGCAGTGCTGATTAGCATTGTTATCAGTCCTAAGGAGAAGACGCCGGCCTATCCTTTGCCGCCGGTGAAGCTTCAAAGAGTTGAGGACAAAGAAGGGGAGGCAGAAGACTAATAGTCAGATAATCAGTTAGGCGGGGCCTTGCAACAAGTAAATCATAATCAACGTACGTGATATATCAGTAGAGATATTTAATGCCCAGTTGACGGTAAAGTCAGTAACAGAGTTCCAAATAGATTCTAACTGGTTCTCGAGCGACCTGAAGACATCGAACTGTTAGCATACAGACGTGCTCCTATACAAATGGGCTCCTCACCAATTGTTCGATATAGGGCGTGTGTGTAAAGTATCAGTCAATACTGATACAAGGAAAGCCGCGGCCACAAATCCTGTGGTAAAATATAGTGCTAGCCTTAAACGCCGGAAGCTTCGTGGGATTAGCCACCAAGAGAAGACAATAATTGAAGCCTTGGGCCAATAGAGTACTATATCGAAAAAATAACATCCTATAAAGACAGTCTGATATAAGTTAGTCATTGTCCATATCGTTCATTATTTGAGCGTGTGTTTCTGAATTAATATAAAATACCACTCCTACAGCACGTACCTTTAAATATTCGACAGAATCAGTGTAACCTGTTGCCGATTCGACAGGATGATCTGTTCCAAGGTTCAAAGCTTTAATTGAGCAAATAAATCAGCCCAAAATGAACATCCATCCACACCATACCAGATAATCAGGAGCCGTAAGAGCGCGCTGCTCTAAGCCGAGTCGAACCCATCCACGTAAAATAGTTACTAGCAACGCCAAGGAAAGTGCGACCCCTTGTATTGTCTGTCAAATACATTAGGAATGTCTCTTTGCTAGCCTGTAAGATACTGATGCTTACGATCGAAGTGAAAACTTCCATCCTGCCAAGCAGGAATACAGGCCCTCCAAGGCTTATTGCTGTCTGACAGTACTACGCGCAGTACCATAGTTTTGGGAAGAACAACCCTGACGGATCTTTAGCTGAGTATACTATATATATGTGGAAGGGGTAACAGATCGGAAACGGTGCAATGTCTGTGCTTACCAAGGAGTGACAGAAGGCTTGTCAAGCTGTAAATTTTACTACCCAGTCGTTACAAGTCCTATGACTTAATAGGCCGAAGACCGCCTTCCGGAACAGAGCGGCCGGGTCTACCTTAGCTAGCATGGCTCGGATATCCCCACAAGCCAGATAGTGAAGTTTGATACTGTTACTAGCTTTGAACCACTGTTTTGGAATAAATCTATGTACCTCGCGGTGTTCCCGTTATTTAAAGAATGCAAAGTGTTTATCTGCCGTGTATTTTCTCTTTTAAGATAGAGAAAAGAGTGCTAAGACTACTGGTACACTTCGTCAGGCTACGCTTGACCTATTAGTCTGCCATGATCTTGCCGTAAGGCTGCTGTATGTTTTATTTCTAACACTTCTTTTCTTACATATACTCTATACAAATCACCTAAATAACGGAAAATTCGACATCTAAAATGGGATTTTTAAGCCCCTGTCTGGAAATTATTAATAATACTAACGGCGATAATCCGGCTGGGGAATAGATTCGCCTGTTTAGTTATCCAAAACAAGATTATTACTAGGGGATCTAGTTAGTATTAGATCTGACCTTTCCCTTCTTGCCGCAACGTATAGCCCCTAATCCCCATAAGTTGACCGCCCCTATTTGCTAGCCCACCCAATTCAAGAACATCATTTAGAGATATCGCTTAAACATACCTCGATTACATGGTCACAGTCACTCAATACGTAGGCATTTTGGCGCCATTTGGAGGTTCTAGCTGCCATTCAGAGCACATATCCTGGTTTCTTTGCCCGTTTCGAAGCGTTGGGGCGGATCAAGATGCCTATACATCTCCTCACGTGCCTTCAGAATATCTGGGACTTTAGCAATCTTCTCATTGTTACCATAGGTAACCTTCTTCCTCTTTTGGACGTAGCTCCTCTAATTAATACTCTAGAAGACCTAGTACAAGATCGTGACTACTCATCATGGCTTTTGACAGTCTAATCCCTCGCTGATCTTAGTGGGGAATAGGCGAAGTGATTAACCGAGCTACCGCGCGGAGGGAATATTACTTCCGCGAGATGTAGCAGCTTTAATAAAAGCTGGGTTAAGAAAAGGTTCTTAGGCATACCATTTCTTCGGTAGCGTGGGCGGCTGGTATGCTGGCTTGCCCGTCAGCGGACTCATTAAAGGCTTTGCCATACTGATTGACCATAACCCGACGTTGCTCAACCTGTCTCGATGTCTTTTTAAAGTTATTCTGGCCGTCCTAGCTTCACTGTAGCATTATAGGAATGTGACATTCCCTAGTGTACGGTAATCGGCGAGACCAGCTAGCTTGGAGATCTCTTGGCGATCCTCATTCTCCACAGGCACAAAGGCGGCAACGCCGAGCGGTTGTAGGACAAGAGAGGAGTCAGGGACTAGAACAACAAGATCAGCATCAGTAGAACAGCATTTAAACATAGTGCCATCACCAGCATGGCACCCGCAACCGTCAGTAATAACAGCATTTTATCTCCTTGCTAGTTTTATCTCCGGAATGAAGATTGTTTTCAGCCATCTCACGAGATGTCGGCATTATTCCAGCCTTTCCCACTCGCCATATAGTCCCGTTTATCAAGAAAGGCAGGTTCATCAGAAAACCACGATCGTTTTAATGTTTTCCATTCAATAATAATCAGCAGAGTCGGCGTCTGGCCAAGTTCTGAGATACACTCCATTATTCTGGTACGATTAGGTGATTTCGGACGTCTTCATTATCGCGAACTTCTTCCTGCAGCTCCCTAGCACTGGACCGTTGAGACACAGTCCCCCCTCCCTTATCCCCATTTCATCCGGCGCAGCCCTAGCTTCGGGGGCGCCCTGTCACCGGGGACATTATTTCCGAGCTTATTTGCACAAAATTCCGTCCGGTGCTAGCATCATGACACTCTCTGTCGGGCTTTCCACCTCAAGTGGTATTAGCCACTGCTGCATGAGCTTCCTTTCCTGGCCGCAATTACTAACCGAGGTACTTGCATTCACCCGCTTTGTACTTGTATTTATATCGAATGACAGCACGACGCTGCGTCAACGGGATCGCAATTCTTGTCGGAGCGCATGGTATGACTGATCGTGCTATTTCTTTCCCCGAATCCTGAGATTTTCAATCGGTTCAGATGTGAGGCCACCAGTGACAAGGGGTATGACTCGTGGCACCAAGTGGACGCAACCCAAAAGAACACCGCGCTGTTAGGGCACAATTTCTACACAGGCATCCTGGAGGCCGATACCAAATTAAGCTTAATGAATGATCGATACTGGAGCCTTGACTCTACAATGACAATACTCTATCCCTCTAATCGGCATGACCCTACAGAGCGTTTACAACGAGGGAGTCTAACCCATGGAGATATGCTAATCAGGCTGTGCACACCAAATGTGTACAAATAAGCCTTATCATTACTGATCTATAAATTCATCTAGGTACAATAAAAGTCGAGCTGTTCGAGAAGGGGAATTAGTCTTGTAGCTCTTTACTAGAGCAAGCTCATGTTGTATGGGGATTAAGGGGGCAAGATACCTGCTGAAATGCCATGCCGCCTCAAGGGATTGGTTGCCACACGGAAACTTCCGTGGCCCAGGGACAGAATATTTATCCAATCGCCAAGAATGGATTTTCGTACCGTTCTACGTTCACACTATTCCATATTGGCGGCCGTACTCCGTACAAGTGAGAACAATCCGTGCTTTGCTAATTGTTAATGCCGAACTACCTGTCCTGGTGTATCTTTTTTTTTTTTTCCTTTAATAATTGGGATTCTAGACTTTCAGCCAGAATTTCTAGAGACGGGATAGACTCATACAAGAGAGGAGAGGAGAGGATGCTGGTGAAATGGACTTAAGCACGGAATTAGTCTAGGCAGGTTGTATGTGATCATTGTGATGTTACCCTGTGTGTGGGTCAGGGGTTGGTGGATAACTCGAGAAGTGTTCCGCGGCTCTGGGTGTGAAGTGAATAGTTCGTTCTGATTGGCTGACTTTGATACAGCGTCCCTGCCGGTGAAAATGCTCCGAGGCACATGATGGCGTTACCATATTATAATACAGTAAGATAGTAATAAATAGACCTAATATTAATATACTTTTATAAAGCTAATTAATTTAAGACTTAATAGATTTAAATAGAAATAGGAGAATAAAGCTGTATAGAAACCTTCTTTATTATTTGCCCAGTTAATACTTCTGCATAGAGGTAACCTAAGTTACTGCAATTCACAGCTGAAATGTTTATGTACTGTACCACCTACGCAGATAGTAAGTGGTATAGCGGCGATAAATGAAAAAAGCAGTCATGAGAGTCCGGTCCGAGCGTCGTGCGCGGTGTTGTGAAGAATGAACCAGTATGAGTATGGGAACGAGGTGGGAACGAGGTGAGAACGGGGAGGCATGCAAATCGTTTCCAGAAGCGAGGACAATGTAGGTCATCTGCCTGTGTAGCGTACCAGCCAGTTGGTGGAGGTGCGGGGTAAATGTGGAGAGTCTGGGACTGGTTTAGCCAAGAGAGTGGGCAGCATCAATATAGGTTAAATACAACTGATTACTTGTTATGACATGATTCTCCGTGTCCAGACGGCATTGCTCTAGTCCAAACACGGTTGTTTATGTACAACATTCAAAACGAGCTTGTGGAGAAACCGGAGGCATAAAGATTGGGCCCCTGAGTTGTATTGAACCCTAGCAACACATCAGAATAACCAGAAAGCGGGACTTTCCCTGTTTAGTTGTACAGTACGGAACCATATTCATACATTTCCGACCCTTGTAACCTGTAAGGTTTTGTTTTGAAATGGGCTTGGTCCATCCCTCGTACCGAGAGCCTGTCACAGGAGTAATCTGATTAGTTATTTCTGAGTTACGCCGAGATTACGAAAACTGATGTCCATCTGTCTCATTCCTTATGCACAGTCATCGCGGCTTGTTAGACGAGACGTTAGCGAGACAAAATTTGACATCCCGTTGCCGTTTCTGCGGGTCTGGTGTGCATTCTCGGTTCTCGATTTGTTGAGACATCCCAACTGTCATAAAGCTTAATGAGACATCGGTTTCTTAGAGTGCAGATCTCGCTAAAGCTAGTCTTAACCCCGGTCGTCTAAGATTGCGATAGATCGGCCACGAATACAATATTAAAATGATGGTGTAGATATTGGGAGGAGTTGAGGCCTTTAGACGTCTCCCTAAGGGCTTAAGGAACGGGATTTGAGGCATGTCGAATTTACACACCCTCCCTTGTGTATATTTCTTAGAGGCTTGGGACATGGATGATACTACTAGTCTACCATCGCCATGCAGGTGGCTTTACAAGTTTGGGAGAAGAGAGATGCACTCGCACAAAGACAGAACAAGAAGAAATAGGATATTTAGTACCGCTGGCCCCGCCTGCCATCATCTTTCAGTCGACTTTCTGCCTCCTCATAGACAATGAACATGATCCAATCATTATCAACAGAGCCCGCGAAACCTAAGCGAAAGAGTAAGTTGCCTATTCTCTTTCTTTTTAATCTGATGCTATGGATCTCCGATATATTCTATTCGACAGAAGTAAAGCGAAGGAAAGCAGGGCAACATATTAATATCATACTAATATAGCGTTATTTAGAAACCAGAAGGGTTTCTACCCTTACTCCCGAACAGCTCGCCCGCAAGAGAGCCAACGATCGAGAGGCCCAGAGGGCGATACGCATCCGCACTAAAGAGCATATAGAGCGGCTAGAGCGCGAGCTAGCGGAGCTCAGGAGCAACCAAAGTCGTGATCAGACCGTCCAAGATTTATTACGCCGTAATACGGCTATAGAGAGAGAGCTGATTCGACTCAAGGAGATTATGGGCGCGCCAGCGGCCTTGTTATCTTGCCATGAATCAGGTCCAACTGCACGACAACTTTTATTTCCCGACAAGTTCTCAACAACAGCAACAACAAAAACAACAACAACAGTTTGCAATGGCAACCTCAGCACTGGTAGCGCTGCCATCCCTAGCACTCACAGAGCACCATTCTCGGGGGACTACAACAGCCACCACGACTATAACCAACAATATATCCCCTTGTCTAACAACTGCGAATCCTTGGCGAGCACCATCTCCTGCGCCATCCCCTCCAACATCTCGACCTCCTCAACACCAGGCGACTATAGTGCTGGAAATATCCAGACCAGGATGCCCACCTCGGTCCTTCCCTTCAGCAATACCAGCTCCTCAAATATTTGCACTATATATGATAAGGATATCATCAAGGTAGAGTATATCGAAGTGGGCTACCTCGGCGCAATACCCCAAGCGTTTCATCAACCTGATATGAGGTATGGCAAGTAGATCAGTCATAATAAATATCTAGAGGCCAAGCTCCTCGTTAATACTCCTCCGTTTTATCCCGACACTCCTTACTCTTAACCCTCCGTACTGCATCACTAGCAGTAGCTATCTGCCTAGAACATATAAATAATGTACTACACTCAGCCACATTCGTTAGTTCAGTAAATTACCCCGGCAGTTGAAACTGGTATGTATCCACATGGATGTCATTGACGTGTCGCGTCGATGATCTTCTGGTCAGCTTCGGCCAGAACTAACGCCGGCAGACCCAGGAGACCAGGCTATGACGACCTGCCAGATTATGGGATACGTATAACCCCGCTCCCTATGCTCTAATTCCATACCCTCATATGATGCTGCAAGCCACGACGTATATTACTATAAACCACTTTCAAGCTTAGGGTTACATTACCAAGAGACTCCCGGATAGCTGTCATGTAACTGGACAAACTTTGACCTCCTGAGACAGTAGGAATAAACCGTTTCAGATTAGGTTATTGACCTGTATTCTGCAATTGTAATGTTCAAGGCTAGTCTGAAAGATGACATATTGTCATTGGTTGCGTCCTGGTATTAAATAGCCACTTACCGCTTATCGCCGGTGGAGTTTGATCGCCGAGCGGTTGCCGTAAGAGGGTCGGAATCGGCCGAAGGCGAAGGCAGCCACTTTTTTTGCTTTTTGCTAACAGTGACAGCTCTAGCAGTTTGACCAATCTAAGACCCCGGATGTTGTCCCCGTCGAAGATCACGGCTACAGCATATGTACCGTTAACAAGTCATGTTTAGCATAGAGGAGACAAGTGACATAAAGCTGATTCCTGATGGTTGATGTTACAATTTTATCTCATTGGAAATGCTACCCAAGGTCCAGGGGAACTCTTAAGGCACTAACTTCACACTTCTAGGAAGACCTTCCTCCTTTTCATCTAAGATTAGATGAAATCTATGAAAAGAGCGTGCTTTCTTGATTGTTGTTATTAAACCAGCTGTTGTGATAGAGTTTAATTTCCCCGTGATGATTGTCGTTCTGAGGAGATGGACTTACTACGTACACAAGAAACGAGGCGATGCTACCTTGTGGGTCAGGCTAGACAAGGAAGGGCCTAGGCCGTGAGGACTTTCGCCATTAGACCGCGGTCTAGAACTCGCCATGGTACCGAGGGTTTGAAAAATCCAGTTTCAAGGACATATGGCCATCTTCACAGTAATGTCCAGTCTCAACGTTTTAACTTTGCTGATTGTGTTATTCCAGGCCAGATCCTGTGCATCCCACTCCTTGCTTTGCTTGAGCATCAAGTTCCTTAGCCTGGCAGGCGTGCAAAACTAGTCACTGCAAAGGCAGGCAGTATGGCGGTCGCGGGTTATACTTTCAAGACTGAGGGTGTGTAGACATTAGCCAGCCTGAACCAGTAGTTCTTAAGCCAAGAATGCTAATTAGTTCAGAGAATCACATCTAGCTTGTCATTTAGGAGCTGCGTGACATGGACTGCGCTGCCTGAAGGGACATCAAGCACCAGCAAATGGTTGTGGAGGCCAGCTTGATGGAATGGAGACGCAGCACATTATGACCAAATACGAATAACAAGAAATTTATGAATGATAACGTATCAGATAGCCATCGCAGGAAGCCCCAATGCTCTACAGAGCTAGGTGAATGCACAGCTATTCCTATACAACAAACCCCTCACCCCGTACCTTGCGCAATCTTATGTCCCCGATGAAATAAACGTAATTTAACTTTGGACGGCCTGTTGACCGATGAAGATAAGCAAAGTGCCGTAAACATGCTAGCGCACTTGGCCATACGAGTCCTTCCGGGCGAAATGAATTTATGCATTTATTGACCGCCATTGCCACACTGGGAATTTTGCATGCCCTCGTTCATCGTTTCACGGTGGACCAAAATGGAAGATGGATCTTCAGTGCTGACGACTACTCTTTCGTCAGATCCAAGCCGCGGACAACTCTCCAGCAAAGGTGACAAAGTATGTCAGCCTCCTCATATTTCGGTTGATGTCTCAGCCCGACAACCGTCGCCGCCTGACGACTCAGCGAGACATCTCTATGAATTCAACTACTTCGCAAAGCTACCGGCAGAAGTCCGAAGCAAGATTTGGAACCTGGCGTTCTCTCTATCTTCACCTCGAATATACATTCCGTACGCACGCCGAATAGAAGGAAGTGGGAGGCAGTATCCTCACTATCGACATGACTTGCCAGGACTTATGATCTTGAGCAAAGAAGTCCGGGAAATCACCGTCAGAAATCGAAAACTTTCTCTCATATCGGGCAGGTATGATGTCTGTAACTTGAAATATGTCGACCGCATATATGGCTGGGTGGATCCAAAACGCGACTTACTCTATATCGATCTTCATCGGCGCATCCAAGGTCATTTTTATTATATCAAGAACGTCTTTGAAACTGTGATTCTCTGTCCACAGAACATCGGGAATGCGCTTCATCTAGAGGAACTGTCTCGATGGTCTACAACACTATCTCATTTTTATTCCTCAGAATCGGGCCCATCATATTCGTCAAAGGTCAAAGAACTACAACTCGTTTGCCGATCATACAACCTTCCAATCTCTAGGTTTTCGGTCGGAACACAGAACGACTTTTTAGTCTTAGATCTTGATAAGGAGAATGATGTAGATTGGTTTTTAGCATTACGGAACCGTTTTCCAAAGTGCGACATTCCTTGGAATGTTATTGAGAATGATTTTCGTCGAGAAAGAAACCTTGATTGGCAACTTGGAGTACTTAACGATTGGAGTACAGGAGTAAAGGAGTTCGAGGGTCAATATCATATTCGCCTTGGCGATGCCG